GAAAAAGAAGTATGTTATGCAGAAAAATAATCTGAACGGCTTTTGCCTCAGGGTCAAATTTCGTTACCTGATTTCACCAAAAAAAAAAGAAAGATTGTTTTTTCATTTATTTATTTATTCATATTTATTGTTTTTTCGGCACGGGCAAAGATGTTCTTTTCGTGCAAGTTGTCTCGGCCCACCTAGTATAGCAAAAATGATCTTTTTTCAAGTTCTTCAAAAAATTTTCATTTCTCTTCTACTATGTGTCTTCAGTGCAGTTCTGTTTTGCAACAATTCATGAGTGTATCAGTGGATCCAGGCCCTTTTTTTTGAAGTCCATGGATTCTTCTGTCCCGCTAATTGGATTTCTTTCTTTGCTGATCATTTTTGGCTTTTATTTCAACCGACCGTAGGTTCTGCAAGATTTCCAGGAGAACCCAAGTGCGGCGCAGCAGCACACCAAGAACCCGATGGTTATGCAGAAGATTCAGAAGCTTGTAGCGGCTGGCATAGTCCAAGTTCGCTGAAGAGGTGCGAGGGAGGGGGAGGGGGTGTGCATCGTCCAGGTTTGCTGAAGTGGGGCGGGATCAATACAGGTGTAATTGTCAATTGTAGTTGGCTGGTCCGTATATCGTCACTCTCCTTGAGGACGTAGTTTGAAGTTTCATGTTTTTGTGTGTGAAACAAAAAAGTATTGCGGTAGTTGTGTAGAAGGTTAAATTTAGTCTGTTCTTCTGCGACAGGAAGAGGGGGGTGTATGGAAAAATCTCCGTCAGAACGTTTAAGGGGTCGTGGAACGTGCTCGAGGGGCGAAGGGCTTTTGGAAAATACTGTGCTGTAGCAAATTCTGTGTGAAGTTACGACGACTCTTGGGGGGGGTCGTCCTCTGGAGCTTCCTTGAGCGGTCTGGGAGCGCGTGTGAGTGGTGGTGGTCCCGGGTGGATGTTTGGAACCTCTGTGCTCCAGCACACGTGCGAAATGCTCTCTAAAGAAGAAACTGGGGTTTAGATTTCTTGCAATGGATAACCGTTTTCTTCTTGTGCACATTTGCGGCAAACTTTGTCTGATCTCTCTCCCTCTCTCTCTCTCTCTCTCTCTCTCTCTTCCTCTCACGATGCGGCTCGGATCATGAGGACGAGCAGAGTTGTGCTCCGTCGACCTGCAAATCAGTGTCTGTTCTGGGACTGCATCAGCGCGTCCCTTGTGCGTTTGCATGTGTGAAGCAGGTTCTCTTCCGGGACTGTGTCAGCATGTCCCTTGTGCTTTTGCATGGGCGAGGAACTGAGTTCTCAGGGGGATATAACCTCTCTTTTTTTGCCGAATGGGTTGAGCGACGCCTCATTTACCGAATGATGATGTATGACTCTTTGGGTAATCTGCTTTTTCTTTCGCGGGTTCGTCTGCTTGATTCTGCTCTGCATGCTTTTTTCTTTCTCCTTTCCTTGACACGGGGTATTGTCTGTTGTTGTTTCCTTCTCGATGGTTCTCCTTCTCTATGATGTCTTCCTTATCAGTCTCGATGCTGCTGCTCCTCGATGATGTATTCCTTATCGGTCGTGTCACTTGCTGAAACTCTCTCTCTCTCTCTCTCTCTCTCTCTCTCTCTCTCTCTCTCTCTCTCTCTCTCTCTCTCTCTCTCCTCACGTATGTGGTCTGTTTTTCGTCTTCTCAATCTTTAAGCTTTTGAGACCCACCCTCCACTGCGAATCTGCGGACTTCGGTCTCTTGCAAAGTAAACCCTGCTGACATCTCCTTATCGATTGCTTGCTGTAATTGTCTCTATATATCATCCGTTCTTGTGCATGATTGGAAGACTTGTGACAATATTCGTGAACCCATGTGCGTCGGGCCCGTACTGCCCAAGTAAGCAAAATGGGAATGAACCTTCCGCTAGAAGATGGGATGATGCACTGCCATATCTTTTGCCATATTTTTTGTGCATTTNACCTTCCGCTAGAAGATGGGATGATGCACTGCCATATCTTTTGCCATATTTTTTGTGCATGCGGTGTGTGAGTAGTGGAGTAGTGAGTCCCTCGGTTGCTCACAAAGTAAACCCTGCTGACATATCCTCATAAATTGCTTGTTGAAAGTCTATTTGGAGGTGTTCGTCTGCATAATGTTGTCTGTACTTTTTCTCAGCTCGGTCGATAGAGTCTTATGTGCCCCGTTTATCTGCCTGATTATGCTCCCCCCTTCCATCCGTCGCTTGGTCTCCATGTACTTCCCCCGCCCCCCATGGAGTAGCGGCAGTGGCTATGGCCAAACGCTCTCCTGAAATTGTATACGGCTTATTTGCGGAAACAATCAGGATTGGAAGTTAGGAACATGGGACATGGGACTAGGAACTTGGAACTTGGAACTTGGAACATTGAACATGGGACATGGGACATGGAAGTTGGAAAGTGGAACTTGTTGGAACTTGGAATGTGGAACTTGGTGGATATGGAACATGGGACATGGAACTTGGAACTTGAAATGTGGAACTTGGAATGTGGGACTTGTTGGATATGGAACATGGGACATGGAACTTGGAACTTGGAACTTGAAATGTGGAACTTGAACATGGGACCAGGAACTTGGAACATGGAACTTGGAACTTGGAACATTGACATGGGACATGGAAGTTGGAGAGTGGAACTTGTTGGAACTTGGAATGTGGAACTTGGTGGATATGGAACATAGGACATGGAACTTGGAACTTGGAATGTGGAACTCGTTGGATATGGAACATGGGACATGGAACTTGGAACTTGAAATGTGGAACTTGAAGCTTGGAACATGGAACATGGGACATGGAACTTGGAACTTGAAATGTGGAACTTGAAGCTTGGAACATGGAACATGGGACTTGGGACATGGGACATGGAACTTGGAACATGGAACTTGGAGCTTGGGACATGGAACATGGGACATGGAATGTGGAACTTGGAGCTTGGAACTGGTGCAGGCGGTGATGGCTGTGTGTTTTGTGGCGGTCCCAGATTTTCGTTCTTGATGGATGTTAAGTACTGAAGAGAGGCTTTCCACTACCGACCAAATGTGCAAAATGAGAATGAATCTTCCCGTAGAATATGGATAGGAAACAGCAGTAGACTTTTTATCGTCTGTGCATGTGTAGGAGCGGCGCCCGATTTCGAGATGATGTCGATTGAATACTGGGCGTCGATCGACTAATCACCACCTCGGGCGTATCGCTCTACTAACTAATCACTACCTCGGGCGTATCGGTCTACTAATCACCGCCTCGGGCGTATCGCTCTCTACTAATCACCTAGTTTTGCGTTGATGTTGACTAGATACTGGGTGCGTCGCTCTGCTACTAGCCACATGCACAGAAAGACAAAACAAACTGCAGCGTATCTCTCCCCGCCTTCTGGTAGAAGATTCATTTTCATCAATTTGAACATTGGGCTATGCATAGTTTGCTGTTCTAGAGGAACAAGATTCATTCTCAATTTGGCACATTTGGTGGTGAAGCAGTAGACTGAGGCCTGTTGATTGATTAAAGTTGATGGAAGGGTATATCATATCGACGGTCGTACAATCCACTGTCTGTCGGCGTCTGATCCTTATGCTGGGGAATGGCAATATGGGGGTGTATTAACCTTTTAAACCACCAGTACTTGGGCGACGCCTTAGCGTTAACGCTACGCGATTTCCGCGGCCGGCGGGCCGTCGATAAATCGAATCGACAGCCCGCGCTGCTGTGAGATTTGGGCGGCCGGCGCGGCGTGCAGTGCCCAAGGACTGGTGGTTTAAGAACTAGCTGCTTTCATAAGCCTCTCCTGGTCTTCATCAATCGGTGGATAGGTCTATCTTTGTGGCTCATGAGAGCATACTCGCACTAACGCCCTTTTCACCGAACAAAGCGGATATCGTATAACCAGTTCCGTACTGTTCTCTTGGTTCTCTGTGCGCGTGAAAACATGCACGGACACGCTTGCTGCAATGAGTCGGAGATTAAAAAACAGAAAAGGAGCCCGCCAGGGCCGGAAAGAAGAAAGAAAAGTGACGTTCCCAGACGCTTTCATTGTAGCACTTTCGGAAATGTATCTGGCTGCAGTTATACCCTGAAGCCAAAAAAAAAGACTTTGTGACTGCTCTCTTTTTTCCTTCCCTTTCTTAGGCAGAGTGAAATTGGCAGTTTCTCAGCTGACTCCCCGTGAGGAACGGGGAGCATTCAAGTCCCGGCCGGCACTTGGCGGTCGCGTTCTGTTTGTTTTGTTGTTGATGTTGTCATTGTTGTTGTTGTCATTGTTGTTGTTGGTTCTCTCTCTCTCTCTCTCTCTCTCTCTCTCTCTAGTGCAAAAGAAGGAAGAAAAAGAGAAGAATCTTGGCTGTATCTTTAGGCCGCTTTTTTTTTTTTTTTTTTTTTTTTTTTGCAACAAGGAAAAACAAGAATAATGTGGGGCTCGCTGCACTACTCCTGTCTCTTATACACATCTAGATGTGTATAAGAGACAGGTCCGGAGCGGTAATCAGGTCCGGAAATGTCTGAGCATTTAGAAAAGAGAAAAAAAGAAAAAAAGAGAAAAAAAGAAAAAAAAGAAAAAGAAGAAAAAGAAGTA